CAATCTTAATCTGAAAGAGTAATTTATAAAATTTTTAAGAATTAAAATTTTTTTAAATTGAAAAAAGTTGTGAAAATAACAAACTTGTACTACATTACAACCTTGGTGTCGAAGCATAAGTTTATAGACAATTAATTCATTCATTCGATGGTGTAACATTAAAAAATGACAAAACCTACCTCTCGTACATATATCACAATCTGTGATGCATACACAAATTGTATAATCCGGCGACCGTCGGATTGGCTACCTCATAAGAGGGCTAGGCTGAAAATGTGTAGATTGGTGACTTAATACCTATAGAACATAAAACCGCTGATCTGTTTCTCTTAGCATAGCCGAAAGTACAAAAAAAAGGTCAATTTTCGATACATATTTTTTTTGTGTGAGTACATGATAAGATATCGGGATGATTTTTGTACAGAACGAAAGAGGATAAGCTATGAAACAAACTTCATCTGCCCATCTTCAGTCCGCCGCAACCCCTCACAGACTATATAGGGGAATTCAGTAATTACTCTACTTCACAAGATATCAGAATAATTTTTTTTTATTCGAAAGGTAAAAATATTCACAATCGGAGTGCACATGTCTGCCAGTCTTGAAATGGTTGCAAAAACACGGCAGACCGAATTTTACGTAACGTGACTGAAAGCAGGATGTTATATAATGGTGTACTCGGGAAACGGCCTCAAGTAGGGGCCCACCAATATGAAGACGAGATCCATTGTATCATCCCGGCCATATTAACTCTAGGTCAGCTCAGACCTGTTTTTTCCAGAACTAGAGCAGGTCCTTGACCTGAAGTTGACATACCTGCTCAGGCTCGAGAAATACTGAGCCCAATAGGAGGATGTTATATAAGTTTTTATTATTTTTATCGACATCTAAATTAATTTCATCATTGGAAATGGGATTTTTAAAAACAGAAAATAATTGTTTAGTCACCATGCTCGAGGAAAATGATGAAAATCGGGATTTATTATTGATTATTGAAATGGTCATATGAACGTCTTTTAAGCATTGTACCCTTTAAAATAAAATCGATTGCACATTTATGTGCCGAAAGGCGAGTAATAAATGTAGAGATAACATGCGTGTATCATCAGAGATAAGAACCTCATGGTTCGTCACTCCCATAATATTCAAAATGGCTGTGTTCAGCAGAGAACCGCTCACTGAGCGCTTATTGAACAAAAAAGGGATTAATCTATGATTAATATATTCGTTAATATGTTCGTATTTAATATGTTCGGTATTAATATGTTCGTTTATTATAATTTATAATGTAGAATAACTTGTCTGTTATAGATAATCTTTAATATCATATTCCTTACTTATTTATTACTATTTATTATTTCTCTAATCCCAACAAACGAGAATGAATTGAAATGAATTGAAATGGATTCAAATTTTCAGAAATATTGATTCACGAATATTAAAATGAATGCTTTTCAATCCTGAATGCATTTTTATTCATTTATAGGAATTGCATGGAGCACATCTCTGCCTTTCAAATATAAAAATAATATTAAGTTTTTCTGTGCAATTGTGAATACTATTCAATTCAACATTTTGAATAAGAAATGCAGTTTTTCAATCCAATTGCATCCAATTGAATTTAATTGAATCCAATTAAATTCAAAAAAAGTATTCACTGTTTAAAATACGCATTCGAATAGAAAAAAATTTCAGTTCATTTTAGTCCATTCTCGTTTGTTGGGTAACATTTAATATTGTATAATAACATTAAATATTGATAAATCAAATAATTACAAACTGAGCTTTAACAATTGTATTGTGCGACATGTAGCCGTGTCTTATACTGAAGTTATAACAAATTGTGATGTCCAAGCGTATTCTCATAATAATTATCGAGCTAAATTATATAAAATTATTAGAACGAAATTAACAATAAATAAATAATAAATAATAAATAATATTTAAAATTTACATGATAAATGCAAAGACAGATCGCTCAGATGAAATTATCATTATTGTATGCTCTCATATTACTGACGTGCTTAAAAACGAGATCTTTAGATGTTGTCATTATTTATGAATATTGCAGTTGATTTAGTTATTGAAGGCGTGAAAAATAGGTGGAATTTGATACAAGATAACACTTATCTTATTGAATAAGTTTATCAATTAAAATTAGTTCTCAATTCCACGTTCTTCACGTTCAAAAATTTTATAAACTTTTGGAATACCTATGGGGTCACCTTTATCCCCCATAGTAGTAGACGTAGTCATGTGTGACTTAGAAATGAATTTTTTTAAATTATTATCTGTGTCCCCTTCGTTTTATATTAGATATGTCGATGACATTGCACTAGCTATTAATCAAAATTACATTGAAGTATTACTAAACACCTTCAACAATTATCATCCAAGAATTAAATTTACGATGAAGATGGGACTCTTAATTTTTTGGAAGTTATTCTAATTAAAGAGGATACTACTATATATGATTGGTATCAGAAATGATTGGTATTTTCTTCTTCGGAGCGATACTTGAATTTTAACTCGAAATATCCCTTAGTACAAAAAACAAGGCATTATATTAGGATTAATTGACATTAATTTACTTGTCTCTCATCCAAGGTACCATCAAAAGAATTTTGATAATATATATATATATATATATATATATATATAATTAAGATCCTTTAAAACATGATTATCCATTAAATTTAATCTTTACCACCATTAGCAGAAGATTGCATAAAAAGTTCGAGTTATTAAATAGTAAATTAATTAGTAATAGCAATAACAACACTAATGAAACAAAGAAACGAAGGTTTTTTACAATTCCATTTGTTCCTTATATCACTGAAAAAGTTCAATACTTCTTTAAGAAAAGTTCTCACATAAGCATGACATACAAAGGTGTCAATAAATTAAAGAAATTCATCCGTGTCAAAAAGATGAGCTCCCTGTTTTCTTATAGTTGAATTTAGTGTATAAAATAAATTGTAAAGATTGCAATATGTCTTATATGGGACAAACAGGTAGAATTTTAAAAACATGCATTAAGGAACATAGAAATCATATTAAGTGGAATACAACAATCAGTTATTACTGCACATTGACTTGATTTTTCACATGAATTCGACTGGGAAAATATAAATATTTTAGCTGAAGAAGAATTTTTACATAAAAGATTGACATCAGAAATGATTTTCATAAAAAAAAAACAAGTTAATGATTTAAATGTTAAATGACACGGAATCTCTCGACACGGTTTATTCTAATTTATTCACAAGGACTTACTTCCTTCTCCTTACCAGTCTTGTCAACATATTGTATATTGTTTAGTTACGATTAGGTTGGTCATATGAGAGCGAGAAACAGAATCTACACTTTCTCTGAGAGAATTTTCTCATTTTTAAGCACGTCAGTAATACAATAACGAGAGCATACAATAACGATAATTTCATCTGAGCAATATGTCTTTGCGTTTATCATGTAAGTTTTAAACATCATTTATTAAACTATAATATATTATTTCTTATTTATTGTTAATTTTGTTCTAATAATTTTATATAGTTAACTCTGTAATTATTATGAGAATACACTTTATCACAATTTATTATAACTACAACATAAGATACGTCGCACAATACGATTGTTAAACCTCAGTTTGTATAATAATTATATGATTTATCAATGTTTAATCTTATTATATTAAATGTTATCAAGATATTAAAAAGGATCCGTAATAGGATCGAAACGTCTGTCATATTATATACTAATTGAATAAATCCTTTACACTCTATGTTTGGTCTTTCATAGGCATAATATTTCGTTGAATCAAAATGCATTCAGGATTGAAAAGCATTTATTTTAACATTTGTGAATATGTATTTCTGAAAATCTGAATCCATTTCAATCCATTCTCGTTTAAGAAAATAATGAATTGTTATTCTGGATTCTCATTTAAACAATAGCGCTTTGACACCGAGCATGATTGGTGAAAAATTGAGGGTAAATTTTTGGAAGTAAAATTTATCTTCATTACCCATTTTTCATCTGTTTTTAGATTTTGTGATAATATATTTTAAATGTTTACAAATATAGTGTGATTTTTCTATAAATTTTTTGTTTTAATTTTTTGTTTCTAATGCCTCGCGCGTATGTGCTCCCATCACGCGTGATAGCATAATGTCTCTCACGTGTGTACCTTTATCATGCGTGATGGCAATATAATGGCGGTCTTGCGTGCACAACGTGATTATCATTCGTGACGGCAGTATCAATGCTCCCGTTGATTTATAATAACTGTTTTATATGATCATATACTATTATCATACGATTTTTTACACTCGCACATATGCGTCATTATGTATGGACTGCATAGTACCATCATTATGCTCGCCCGTGTGCGACCATCATATCATGAGGGCGATGTGATGGCGTTTTTGCACGCACAGCCTGATATTCACGTGCGAGGGTTATATGAGTATTAAATGTTATCTGCGATGTGCACGCGTAAAGGCAATATGATCTCGCACGAATTGTTATCTTGGATAATTTTCTTTTTCTCGTCTTTTTTTTTGTCTAATATGGACCGTGTTTCGAGCGTGCTGCTAGTACTGAAAATTTATAGTTTACGTTATGTATACTATAGATTTTCATTATTGGCAGTGTATATCGGAACGGCTATAGTTTAAAGACAACACTTTTCATATCATGGCCATTTTTAATACTTTCGTTAGTATAATACTTTTGCGATGCTGACATAAGTCGGTCGCGTTTCTCTTATATATCTAGAACTCTAAGTAGATGTTTGTTAGATTTAGAAATGTTTTATTCAAATGCTTTTTTGATTTTCAGTGAGAAAAGTTATAAAATTATACCATAATACAAATGATTAAGGAATTGAATCGAAATTGTCACTAATCGAATTACTATTAAACGATAAATTACAAGAATAAATCCCTTTAATACGAATTTTGATCATTTTCTTATGGATGGATAAAAGTATTACTATTATATTCAGCGGCCCAAAAAAACGTAAAATTATATAACTTTTGTTGCATTTTTGAGACAAAACTCAACTCATTTTACTATCCGTCCTTTTTTGTCCAATGAATCCATAAGTAAGTGTTTTTTTTTATTAAGATTGTTGTAGATAAATATATATCCTACACTACTATATTTTGTATATTTTATAAGTGCAACATGATTTCATGGGATGGCCGAGTTGCATATAGTTGGACAAATTTCATCCGCAAAAAGTTTTAAACAATCACATCTACTCTGTAAATGGAATTTTTACGTTGGTAGGAGAAATAAGCCCATGTCTATTAGTTAATAGAAATAGATTTGTCATGTCAATAAATTGTGTTATTATTGTAGGTAATGGTTGGAAAATCATATCAGGACATGAGGAAGGACAAACGCAAGAGAGCTGCGATTTTTATACTAATAATCCAGTTTGGGATCATCCGGTAGATTTACATTACACAACGCAGACTATACAAAATTCTCCGAAGTTACTATTACAAGTGTTTGGCAGAGATAATTATGGAAGGATAATATTTCTTTCCTATGGAGTATATAATGTTCCAATATCATCTGGTTCTTATGTTTTAGATTGTCATACATGGAAACCTATTGGTATATGCACTGAGTACAAAATTTCATAATATATTGCATTTAAAAAAATTATCATTATTCTAATAAAAGTTTATTAAACTTTTATACAGGTACTTGGAAGGATAGATTATATGATAAATTCCTAGGAAATAGTTTACAATTAAAATCACCTAGTGTTTTAATAAACACATTAGATAGGTTTGAAATACTAACACAAAGCATGGGAACAGTGATCGTTCAATTACATATCTTAACAAAAAATTTCGATAAATTTGGATGTCAGTTGTGAACAGATGATTATAAAAGCAATGGAAAGTGCATAAGCAATCTTCAATTAGAAAGTCTTAACAGATCTAAGAAAAAGATCTAATTTTGAGCAAATATTTATATTGATATTTATATTGATATAATGCATAAACAATATCAATAATTTACAACAATGTTTTTTCTTCCATTGTTACTATTAGCATGTATTAATGTGGTAGAAGTAACGAAAATAGAAGATATATCAATCTGTATAAATGACACAGATTGCAAGGAGTTAATAAACTCAACCATATATACACAGATTCCTGAAATTGATAATTCATCTTTAAAAGACTTATCAAATAATACAGAAGAAGATAAAATATTCACTACTACCATTCCAACAGAAATAATATCTTCAAGAATAAATATCAACTCAACAGAGCAACTAGAAGTACAGTCAACTTTCACAACAATATCCTCGCCAGTAGTGCGTCCAAGTGGTTATGAAATTCTTACACTTGGAAAAAAAGAGATATGCGAATGTGACTTGATTGTACGTGCAAGTATCATTTTTTAATATAAAATATTGAAGAAATAAAAATAAGGCCAAATTTTTCCTCGCGATGGAATCTAAACTATCTTCAAAAATCGTTAGATCTCAAGAAGTAAGAAAATAACTATCATTTATTCGAAAAGTGGTGAGAAAATTATGAGAATACCGCAGTAAGTTATTAGGCTTTAATATTGTGTTTATACGTGAAAACTTGGAAACTAATCGGAACTTATTGGTTCATATATATAATCATATCTTATATTTTACAAATATTCAGAAAGCGTATATAAAATTGTAATGATGCACCCCTAAAAAACTACATCGTCCCCGACAGAAACTCTAGCTGAATGCCGTCGCACCCACCAGTGAGATGCAACAATGAAGTGCGCCCACTTTTTAAACAAATCTAAAGATAATTCACAGATGACATTCGTTCCGCTGGAGATTTCTGAATACACACGAATTTTGCCGAGTTCTGTTTTCTCCCGCTCATATTGTTAACCGATTAGTATAAAAGCTGCGATTTTTTTTCGTGCGCGATCTCTTTTCTGTACCGATTCTGCTCCTATTCCGCTATCTTCCAATTCCGAATCTTCCGGTTGCGAGCATATAAAAGTGGTAGAGAGTATTTTACCACTATCATGCGTTTTCGATCGCAACTGACTAGTATATTTTAGAAATCATTATTGCATCGATCTCTGAGGCAGAGTGTATTTTGTCTTGTTGATAATTTTCGGTTGCCGCTCAGCGAATACCAGTGCGACAGACGAGAGTTTCCGTGACGTATTCTGTCAGGTCGAGCATTCTTGGTCACTGGCTTGTTTGCTGCCGTTTTCGGCGCATCGATATAATTCCAGGGATAGAGAGTGCTCTGTCTCTGTCGTCTTTCTCAACCGTCGATTCCTTCGTCGAAAACCATCTTGACAGTAATAAATGGGTAGAGTTTTCTTCGCCTCCGCCGAATGTTCTCGACCGTTGAGTGTCTAAAACGCATTCTTGGTTTTCTCCATTGCGGAGAAAACTCGCGCGCTTTACCGCGACCGCGATTTACTGGCGCATACCCACGAGTCGCGTCCGTACAGCGAAGCCGAAGGCAATACCGATTCGTACTGCGTTACATTTACACACACAGCATGCATACACATATCTTCGTACAAGACTGTATTATATTGCTTATATCTAAATACATGATTCTTTACTACAACATTAAGTACACGAATCCAATTTATTTGCATCTCGCCTTCCGAAGCGAACCTATTTTGCGCATCATTATCAAAGTTTCCGGCGAGCGCACAAAATTGAAGTTGTTACAACGTTAAAATCAACGTATTGGAGAACAGTCTTTTTTATACCAACTTTAGCAAAAAGAAATAGTATTTTTCTTAAGTCAAATACGCGTCGATTTTGTTTTATTTATAAGTTGCTTTAGTATTTTTTACATGCATAGTTCTTAATGTTGGCGAGTTGAGCTTCTGCGTGCGAACCAATAATGGGATTTCAGCCCTGAGTAAATAAGTGCTTCAACCTCTACTTTCCCCCATCATAATTAGAGTCCGAATAAAACATCGAGAATGATATTTAAGAACAGGCACATATACGATTACATTTTGGGATCCTTGCATTTTATTCTGTGTTTATTATGTTTCTTATGCAATTTCCTTTTCCTTTCGCTAATAGTACAAATTTATAAAAAAAGAAACAACATAATGTATAAAAAAGTATCGAATATTACATCCTTAATAAAAAATGGATACGTAATGAATGTAATTATCCAAGTATTTCATAACGCAAGACATAAGATAGACTGAAAGTGACCAAAATGATTAACCGGATTATATAATGAAAAAAAACCTCTCGTCCCAGGTCGTATTAAAATGTTTATAGGATAATATAAACAATATTTTAGGATAATAAGTTTTCATGGAATTATTTACAATACGAATTAATAAAAAAGTTATTACATACAATTTATCTTTGCAGATATATACAATACATGAAAGCAATAATTCAACAAAGAACAGATGCTAATAATTGTTTGCTAATCTTGTAACTGCTAATCTTCGCTATCTATAATGTTTCTGGAATATGTGTGATATAGGAACGCGATCGATAGGCGAGAATGATACTCCGTTAAGGATTTTTATACATTCACGTGACGCTTTCTGAGTATGCGTGCAATATGGCGTATGATTCTGGGCGTGTTAATGAACGAACTATATACCTGAATTCTTTTTAATTGAATAAATTATTTAATACTGAGGACACATATCTGTCCTTTCACACTTCATGCCTTTTACCCCATATCAACAGTTTCTAAATATTATATATATCTTACATACTATATTGTTTTTATATCTAAATTACATATTATTTCTCCATATGAATTTATATTACGTCTATTATTTGTGTATATTTTTATGTCCCACAAACTATGTCACTAATTATATTTATATACGTATGTTTATTATTTTTAAATTTTGATAATGCAATTACTATGAGATAATATATTCATAGACGTGCAAATAATGTGACCCACACATCAAGTTTTTTTTTCATTATAATTTTATAGTTGACCATTTTAGTCATTTTAAAACTATTTTATGTGTCTTGCGTTATGAAATAATTGGTTAATTGAACTTATTTTGTATCCATTTTTTATTATAAGAAGAACGTAATATTCGATACCTTTTTATGTTTTTGGCGTGTATTTTTTCTTTCTTTAAAGAGGTTTTTTCTTTTTAGAAATTTTACTGGTTCTTGTAAATTTTTGAAAACGTAATAGTATAGAATTTAAGTCTTTTAAAAATAAAGAGATAGTAATAATAATAATTTATTGAATACTAAGTCAATAATATATTATATAAAAATAAAAAAAAAAGGATGAAAAGGAGAAATGCAAATGTTCAATTCGCAATTTTTGCGATTTGGCATTTTCCGATAACAGATATGGAATTCATTTTCCTTCTTTGTGAATCTTTTTCGTATCATGTAAACGTTTAGTAACTATTGTACGATCAATATTTAATTTTCTGGCAAATTCTGAAGTGGATTGTACTGGATTTTCGTCCAATGATTTTAATGATCTTTGTCATCAACATTGAACCATTTTTGTCTGAACCGTCTGAATCGATATTCACATGTCTTAATTGATGGAACAACATTACCATAAATTTCTATCAGAATTTTGACCTTCAGTTGCCGTTTTCTTCTGATTAAAAAACAAATTCATGTCGAAAATGTTCCTTAGGAAGCTCCATTTTTTAAATGGTATAAACACTATGCTTACTACATCTATTATTAATAAATGAATTAAATATCATGGAATAATAGTATAGCATTAAGAAACAATAGCTGCGATTGAAATATCTTCAATAACACTGACATTAGTGCTATCTCTTGCAAAATCTTCAAAATTAAATCACATTCCTAATATTTTTGTACACTTGGCATTGCGATGCTACCGCGTCACTCAATAAAAAGTGCACACGGAATACTTACATTTAATCATTAAATATTATGTGTATTTCTTAATATTATTAATTCTCGTACATTATGAAAGGATAAATAAATATTAAATTTAATAAAAAAATTAAGTTGAAAACACAAAATAATTTATTAAAATGAAGAATGTAAAATATGTACTTTATTTTTGTTACACAGATGATTTCCTAAAATTGGTATACGGAAGATTGTTGGTTTCTATGTATAAATCAATATTAAAACTTAATAGCTTACTGCGCTATTCTTATAACTTTCCCACTTCTCAGATAAATGAATTATTTTCATACTTCTTAAGACCTCACGAAAGATTTTTAAAAGTTAGTTTAAGTTTCATTGCGAGGTAGAATTTGGTCTTATTTACTCCTTTATTAAAAAAAAATATAAAAAAAAATTATTTTACATTTAAATAGATATAAGTGAACTATTCGTTACACTTTTCTCCGTAGCTCCGTATGAATGATAAAGATAGAATGACACAATAGCACTGATGCTATTGATATAGTGCTACTCGAATGCAGCCTTAGCTGAACATATTGCAGAGTTTACCTTTTCTTTTTCTCCCCAATGTGAAAAGAAGAATGGGAAAGGTGAAGCGCGAGAAGTTCAACTGAAAAGAATAGAATCCTACATCAATGGCGCAAACTTTTAATATAAAATTTCAGCCAATATATTTTATTGGATACTAATGATGTACGGCTACCCGAATAGTGAAAAAATATTAGATATTATATTTTCCGGATATCTGGTGTATCTCTAATTTGAATTATAATATCATGATGCAAAAATATTATATTACTTAAGTTTACTTATATCAACAATTGATACATGTATATGAATAATAGAGCATACGATTACTCTATTATATACATTATATTTTATATATAATATATAATACAATTTTCCATTTTGTTTGTGCAGAAATCTTCTTGTAACATCAATTGCTGCTGCGACATCGATTGTAATCATTCTCATTTATCTGCCTTTTCGTACTGTCAAAATTATCATGTGGAGCTTTATGACAGTCGATATTGCTATAATCGTAATTTCATACAACGAAATAACACACCTTTTATTTTTGAAAAACTTGCAAATAACTTGTTTTGCATTCTTTACGACAATCTTCCATCTATATACAGTACTAACAATAATTTGGTAAGTAAGTTATATATGAAAATTATTTGTAGAAAAATATCTACGAAGTCGTTTAAAAAATTTTGAGTCTAATATAGGAACAAGTACTTTTTCGGTTAAATTCAGTTTTATTTTTCAACATAATCTGCCTTTAATATATATAATCGATATATTTTTCTCAGCGCGAGATATATATATATATATATATATATATATATATACTCCCACTCCTTTAATCTATTAATCAAATAATAGTTGGTGTCTTGCTCTGCAAAATAGCCTTCTATGGATGCGATGACCGGCTCGTTTAAAAATCTCTGTCCTTCGAGCCAAACTTTGAGCCTAGGAAATAGGTTGGTGGGGGCTAGATCTGGCGAATACGATGGGTCAATTCGAATCGCAATTCGTAAATTTTTGCAATAGCAACTGTCGAAGTATGAGACGGTGCATTATTTTTAGATGGAACAGTACTTTCTTCTTCTTCATATGCGGTCATTTTTTCATAATTTCTGTTTCAGCTTATCAATTAATAGCGCGTAGTACTATAATTAATTAATGAGATGCATAGTATATAATCTCCATTATTTTACCTTTTTCATGATTGTCGATGAACACAAGTCCATAATTATCTCCCAAAAAACAGTTGCCTTCCCGTCCGTCTTTATTTTCTTCGGAACAGATTCATTCTTCACAATCTACTGTTTTGACTGTTCCTTCGTCTCAAGAGTGAAATAGTATTATATTATAGATCCATGTTTCATCAACAGTTATTAATCAATGCAAAAAATCTGCTTAAACCGCTAACAGAACCTTAGAAATATTCATTCGAATGCGTTTTTGGTCAACAGTGAGTAAGCGTTTCACAGGTATCTTTTAAATCGTGTACAATTGTAGTACTAGAATGATTTTGACGAGTAATGTCATCTTCATGTTGAGGCTCAAAACTTTTCAAACGACTCTCGTATATGTGTATATTATTTACAATTATTTTTAATGATAAATTTTAGATAAAAAAAATTTCATACGACTACAAATCGAATTTTTTGTATTTATGCAGAAGAATATTACAGTAACATTCATATTTAAAAAATCAGCATTGATATGAATCTTTTCAATATTACTGACAATCAGTATTAAATGTTTTTCTTAGAAATGTATTATATGATTCTTATGCAATATGATTCCTTTGATTACGTGGTACTACGAAATAAAAAGAAATAAGACACTTTTGAAGTGATGTAGTGTATGTCTAATGGAACAAAAAATGATGGCATACGAGAAAGAACTCCGCATAATCTTATACGAAATGAGTTTCGGTTAAATTGCTTCAAATTTTAATATTTTGTAGCTTATGTCCTAAGGATATCTAGAAGACGTTATGTGTCTTAGGAATGTCCGCTATATGTCCATATAAACGTTGAATATTATTATCATAATCGTTAATATCATTGTTGTTATTATTATTATTATTATTATTATTATTGTCATTATTGAGTCGTCAATGTAGTAATATAATGGACATACAATCATAATTACTGTACAAAATATATATATATATTAGGTGTTGGAATTAATTCGTATATAATTACGGTCATTATATTATATATTAAGTAAGAATATATAATATTAATGAACGAAATTAATAATTACATAACAATTGAAAACGTCTTCCAAATGTATATTAGCCTTCTTCAAAAACAATATGAAGGATAGAAATGTGTATTTTATTAATTATATCGAGTTTAAGAGATATCAATTTTATCGTATAAATCTTCAACTTTTCAAACAATTTTCCGGCAATTCAGTTAATATAAATCCAATTTTTAAAACCATTTTATTATTTTTAATACAATTTTGCAATCAATGGAATCGACATCGATTTGATATCTATATTTTATTATCATTTCTTATTGGAATATATTCAAATAACGTCCATAAAAAGTCCATTTTACGCCCTATCGAGATCTAACAATGTCCATTGGACAAAGGCGGTACATTGTGTGTCCGAAAGATGTCCATCAGACATCATCGGGACATTCAGTGCTGCACACATAGTATTGTATCGCATTACACATGGACATCTTATTCGGACGTTTCGACGTCCAGACGACGTACCAATTAATATATTAAGCAAAAAATATTAATATATTTTTATTTTTATTATCTCTTCTTGCTTTCCTCCTTATAATTTAACCCAAAACTGATGTTGTCAAAATTTATATAAATATATTTGAAAAAAACTTTAAAAAAATCAAAAAAAGACATGCATATAGCTTGAGAAAACGTATTTTAGAATTAATAAAATAAAATAAAAGAATTGATAAAAAATATTTTATTTAAAAATTTAAAGTAAAAAAGTATAACATCATAAATTTACACTTACATGGCTTATTTGAGCACCTTACATATAACGTTTTTTACATGCGGTGCACGCGTGATTGATGTCATAAGGCAAACGCAGGCCTATTATATCGATACCGATTTTTTTTTGTTCTTCATATGATCATCTTATTTCTTATCATTTAAAAGATATACACATTGTTATAACTAATCTCCGTTACAACTATCCCCAGTCTTCTCTATATTCACAGAGATTTAATTAAATATAAAACTATAATTAAATGAAATAAAAATGCGTTGTTTAAAGTACAAACATTTCCCATAAAAAAATAATATGGAAATAAATCTTCGAGACGTAATAAGCAAATTCGAATAACGCTTGCGCGTACATATACCGAACAGTCAGCGGTCGGTTCCGCATGAGCGCTCAGACAGCCAGATTTAGAAGAACGAAGGATAAATGTGCATAATGTACAAATAAATCGTATAGAAGAAAGGACAATTTCTTAATAAATATCTTGCATATTTGTATGATAATTTACTAAGAAGGCCTTGATAGGACACTACTTTATAATTAAAATTAAAAAATAGGATTACGAGCACGAACTGGATCTTTTAATGTTCAAATTCATAACAATAAACAAATTTACAGTTTCGATACCGATTGGGTCATTTTCAACGTAAGTCGCAGATATTTAAATAAAAACGTTATAATGAATTAAATTAATCATTTTTAAGAGAAAACAGAATCTTTATGAAAAGTATGATGATATTTTTTGTAATTAGTATCTTGTTGTGTGAAGGTTGAATATAGAGTCCTTATGCTATAACAGTTTTATTGTAGAGCTTGATAAAGCAATATAAATGAAACCGTTAGTATAATTTTTTGAAAATTGTGGAGGTTGATGTAGAAACCTCATTCTAACAGTTATTGTTAATCTTGATATGAAGATAGATGAATCTATTAGTACAAATCTATTAAATACAAATCTATTAAATATGGCAATAACGGTAAAATAGTAGAATGTAATACCTTGGTGAAAATAGTCCAATTAATAAAATTGTAATTGTAATAATTAAAGGTATACTGTTACGATCAGGAAAATTAATTATCAGAGGAACGTTGTAAGTAAAATGATACTGAAGAGTAAAAAAATAAATGGGAATGTAGGAAAGAACATGATATATTAGAAAAATTAATGAGAATAATATATTAAATTTCTCTACTTACTCTCTTAGTTTAGACATGTATTATAATTTAAAGAAACGTTTTCAATTTGTTTTCAATTTTTTAAATATTCTTTTCTTATTATATTGATACTATATTATGTATTACAACTTTATATTATGTAAATCGTCCTAATGGAACATTATTTTAACTCTTAGTATACAGTGATGATATTTCAATTCTTTACTATAGGTAATAATTGTTTTGTGTCGCTAATTAATTTTTATTACTGCTACAAGTAGACAAAAATTATTAAGCAATTTTTACATATACTTTAATATCTTTAGAAAATATTTATAAAGTTGCAGATTTTAAAAAAATAAAAAATAATGATCGTTATTTAATCAAATTATTCTAGTATTGTAATGAAAAGACATTTATAGAGAGAGATAAATTACTCAATCATGCGTATATATAAGGATATTAATATTAGAAATATTAAATATATTAATCTCCCTTTGTTGTTTTCAATTAACGTGTTTGTATTTTTAGGTATTATATGAGGAAGAGCTATGGAAAATAATAGAAATGAACAATTACAAATGGGAAATAAGACATAGTAAAACATTATTCAAGTACAATTTGTCAAAATATTATCAACATGGAGATATATTGTGGAAATTACATGATAAATCTATTGAAGAAATAGGTAAATGTTTGATAAATAAAAGCTTACAATTTCCTATACGTAGATACCTCTCGAAGAAATTTACATAAATATAAGTGTATAACAAAAACCCGCCTGCCTGCATTAACGAAAATACATACGGATGTTACTTTAAAGTACAATCACAATGTAATCGATTACGAAAATTAGAGAATATAATTCCAGTACGAAAAATCTGATCAATAATATTATACAGCATTGTTTGTTGGAAGCACCCATAAACTTTTATATGTATATACTATCCTTACAGCATAAAACTTATTGACAATGACGTCATAATAAACTTACAAGGTTACAATAAGCTCACAGGTAAATTGTGACGTCATTATGAGATTATCAAAATGTCATAGTGATATACAATTTTCATCACTGCTTCATAATCATGTCATAGTGATATCATGAGCGATATCAGCACATATTCATATCGCTATGACATTGCTGTTATTACGATGTGATATCACACCTGTGATAAAAAGGATATTATTTGCACATTATCATGCCTGAAACCACATTTCTGTGATATTTTTTGTTATGAGATCAACTAGAATAATTAGAATAATCTTCACTATCATCCCAAACAACACATTTTATGCGAGGGATTATCCTTAGAATGTTCTTTGAATCTATCGTATTTCTTAGAGGTGTGTGCTATATGGGATGTTTAACGCCCAATATTTCAAGTGCCCTCGATGAAGATTACTGTTTCAAGATTCATCTACTTATATATATATATGATTAAGGCAGTATTTTTATATAGTACTTAACTCTGTATATTTGATCTACTTATGCATATATATGCATATTATCAATGAATATATTACTTAATCTAAGGACATGTCACAACTATCCAGAACCGACTTAATTTTCCTTGAAATATGCTACTAAAATTTAAAAGACACACTTTTTTATATGAGCAGAATCTCATGTTTAGGACGTGAAACATCCTTTTGAGAAAAAAAAAACAATTTTTCTCTTTTGGGCAAACAAGATCGAAATGTATATATTACATATACATATATATATAAGATACTTTTGGAAACATACATTTGTTAGAAAAATTTTTTATTTTTTTATGTATACATATACATAATTATATATAATTATATATACAAATATATATGTGTGTGTGTGTGTGTGTGTGTGTGTGTGTGTGTATGTGTGTATATATATATATATATATATATATGTTAATCGTGAATTTCGGGGACCCTTTTTGATAAGGATTGATTATTTTGGGGACTTTTTTGGTTCCATTGAGGACCGTCTCCAAAGTTCTGTAAGACATATGAAAAAAATTTTTGCTTCAGCGTTGAATAATTCGGTGAAAAAAATCGTACGGAGCTTTATAAAAAAACAAATTAAAGATAAAGATTCGCTATTTCAAATTATGTAAATCGCATTTGTGTACAATTTTTAGTCCATTCCATGGAACTCCGCAAATTTCATAAAAAATTTTGAGATCTGATATATCTTCATTTATGTTTATGTAATTTCATAAAATCTTCATGAGATCGTTTTTTAAAGTAGCGATCTGAAAAGTAGAGATTTCAAACTGTAAAATGCTTTTTTAAACATCTCGATACGATGATTTTTGACGAAGTTATTCCATCTTGATACTTGCTTATTTTTGCAGAGTGAAACAGGCGTTAATTTTATTGGCTAGTGTATTATAGTTAGATATATTTCATGATTTCAGTTTTCATAAAAATCTTGTTTTTGCATATCCATCATATTGAATCCGCCATTTTAAATTTTGGCTCTCTTGTTGACTGAATTGTCACTCTTTATAAGTCAATCCAATACTGACTTATTGTTCATTCAGGCATTCGCATTAATCGTTGGTAATTACGCGACTATTAGAATTACTTTATAAAAATAAGTAGAGCTTGATTTCCTCGAGCGCTTCAAATCAAATTTAGATACTTTTATTACCAACTTACACTAATATACTCATCGATAATATGCAACTAGATCTACACAAAAATTGCATTACGTTTCCGATATTAGTGATCAGGTTTATGCTTATAGAGTTAGAATTGAAATTACGATTCTGGAATTAGAATTAAAGTTACAAATTTAGAATAGGAATTAAAATTATGAATCTAGAGTTGAAATTCAAATTACAAATCTAAAGTAAAAGTTTACGTGAGAACACGCGGTTACTTGAACTACTATGTAGAGATTGACCGACAGAAGAAGAACACCCTATAAGCGCAAAATGTTCCTAGAATGTTATATTATTAAGAAATTAAAATAAGTTATTATAATATTTCCAGAATATTATAAAATATTTTTTAATATTACGAGAGTATTCTATAGAGGTCCACTTATATAAATAATATTCTTAATATTATATTCTTAATATCCTTGAAATATTATTGAAGTATTTATAAATAATATTAATCATTTTTAATTTAGTGCAATTTGAAAAAAAATGTTTTGGTATGATTTTAAGTATTAGGTGTTGGAATTAATTCGTAGCGTTTTTTAATGAAAGAATGTTATTTATTTCACATGAGCATTAAAAAATACATTAATGAAAGTACTTCCCATCACTTGTAAAACGCTACGAATTAATTCCAACACCTAATACATATCCAGTTATACAACTGCCTTAACAGCACGTCGATATGTCGACTGTAAGTTGACTTTGCTAAGTCAGGCCTTTAGAATCGATTCTAAGTCAACTTTGTACAGACATCCTTCCAATATCGACTTTAAGATGTTTAGTGCGATTTACGCTCACAAAGCTTAAATGTGAAATCATTCTGTCCTTATTGTTTAACTCTAGTTAAACAAGGGTGAATGCTGTTCATGAGCGTTGTGGACATAAATCAGACCACAATCTAGAATAATTGACTTAAAGTCGGCTTACAGTCATTTTTAAAGTGGGACATTGTATGACTTAGAGAGTCTAGACTCTGAATCGTTTAAAGTCGATTTACGGACGTCCATTTTTCAGACGTTTAGAAGCTATAGTCGACTCACAGTCGACTTAGAATCGACTTTGTGCTATTAGGGTGCTTTAACAGACCGTAAGAAATTGAGGCCTTAAAAAATTGACTAATTACAGTTGAATAGAAAAATAATCGACTATGATTAGTCAATTTCTTACAGCATACGGCTTACGGCCTCTTAAAACAAGATTGTGGACAAGGTGGTTTATAATAATGAATGAGGCTGTAAGAGTAAGAAATTGACTAATCACAATCGATTATTCTTCTCACATTCTGTGATTAATTAATTTGTTACTCTTATAGTCTCATCCACTATTGCTACTACCATTGTAGACGCAAGCGTCGTCTAAAATGAACAATAGCAGTAGAGGCTGTAGAGTAAGCTAGTTTTCCGGCCCAGCTAGAAATGGTTGATCGATGAATGTCAAATCAATGATGATTCAACATCGATCAACGTTAATTTGTAGCTGGGGATGTAACAGGACGTAGAGTAAGTCCGTAAAAGAGAAATAGTTGAAATCTATTTTGCTTACGGACTTACTCTACGCCCTGTTACATCCGCAGCTACAAAATAACATCTAGCGACGTTGAATTAGAATCGATTTGACGTTAATCGATCAACCATTTCTAGCTGGATCGAAAAACCAACTTACTTCCGACGTGTCTATAGTAGAGAGCCTCATAGGGAGAGAATGGCAAATTGCATCACGTGAATGTCCAATCAGGACGGGGGTCACGTAACCAGTTTTCTCCAATCCTTTTCATGTCTATGGGGCTTCGATGCCCATGTCCAATCAGAGGAGACGGGTCACATGATGCAATTTGCCACTCTCTCCCTGTGAGGCTCTCTAGTCCACAACTTCTACTGTTACTGTTCATTGTAGACAAAGCTTTAATTTTTTTTGACTTATGACTTATGACTTAAGGTCTCTTAAAACAAGGTGCGGACCGAGCATTATGCGCAATGACTTGCTTAGGACGTTCAGGAATTATGCCTAGATAACTCTAGGGTGCATTTTTACTACAATATATGTAACGTAGCTTATAGCTTATCTAGACGTAATTCCTGAACGCAACCCTGTATTTCTTTCACCATGATTAAACTAAAGTTTTTTAACAGTCAAGATAATAACTTTGACAAAATATTAAGATCATTAAAGGAATATCTTCTTCTGTATATTAATCGAAATTTTTATTAAAAATTTTTGTTAAAAATTTTTAATAATATATCATTTCAGAGTTTCTACAGTCTGGATTTACTGGAATATGTACGTTTAAAAAAATTTTAAGATACTTGCAAAATTGGAAAGGTGCTTGCATACAAAATAAATTAACAAATATTAATCCATATTTGTTCACTGTGACATTTAGTAATTTTACAGTTATTAAATCTTTGCCGTCATTCAACGATACACTTACTACAAACCAGGTATATTTTATAATTACAGAATTTATATGAAAAAAATAAACAATTTTTTTTTCAATATATACATATATTAACTTTATAAACAAATATAAAATGTCTTTATATAAATTACAAATAAAAAACGAGCAAATATAACAATAACAAAATGATATATAGTATTGGATAAGAGAAAAAGTTTGTGGCGTTTTTCCCACTAGATGGTATTAAATGCTCAACACTCGGTAATTACTAATTGCATCGACAACACTAGACGCGTATTTGAAAGGTGACATTCCAATCTTTATTTTGAGCCGAAAAAGATTGAAATCGGTGAAATGGATCAAAAGTTATTTTATTTTGAAAATGGAGACAAATAAGGAAAAAATTCGCTATATTTTGCAGTATCACTACGATAAAGGTAAGAACGCTGCACAGACTTGTGAAAAAAATTGTGCTATTTACGGATGAAGATACTTTATCAAAATCAGCACAGAAATAGTTTGCTCGCTTTCGTACTGGAAATTTCGATATCAAAGATAAACCTCGCTCCGATCGACCAATCACCGAAAAGTGATGAAATCATGAAAAAAGTCGAGCGTGACAAGCATGTGTTATGGCTCTGCTCCAAAAATGGCAAAATATTATCGAACATAATGGAGCATATTCGGTTTGAATAAATTGATTTCAATACTCTAAGAAAAATACTTGAATTTTACTTTAAAAAATGCCACGAACTTTTTTCTACACTCAATATTATTTTGCAAAATTTATTCTTTTAAAAATAAGGAAAATATTAAAATAATAAATTATTTAATAATAGTTATATACAAATTTTTACTTTATTATTATCATAAGAGTAGTATTATTATTTTTATTAAAATGATATAATGTTGTGAGGCTATATAAAATAATTTTTATATAGAGACTCACAAAAAAATACTATAACTCTTTGCAATCAACTTTTTGCATTGAATTTTTTTTCATACTTTCTCGTTTCTTTTTCTTACTTCTCTCTTCATATGAATAATTCTTCCACTCTTATTCACATTTATTATTTATTTTCATTATAAAAATTATTTTTTAGATGTGTCAAAGCAATATTTGTTTACCAGTAAGAATTCATTACTGTTTGAAGTCATTTTCTGCGTGCAATAGAACCAGCATATCAGGATTTTGTATGAATTCTACTTGTACCAACATTGTAAAGGGTTTAAAATATGTAATTAGGCACAACGGTTCTGCTGGTATTAACAGCATTGATGCATATTTTAATATAGGAAATGCTTCTCATCCCTTTTATCAATATTTTGAAGTCGAATACAAATGGATAGATTCAAATAACACACAAATTTTCATTCGTAGTGGAAATCTTGGTTATGAGATGGGTAAGCCCATTATTATTGGCGTTTCTCATGCTAATACAAGCGATAATATTTTTTTCAATAGAACCGATGGATTTTTTACATTGCCCTTGGCCAGAAGAAATGGAGAATGTGATCAAATTAATAGACATGTTGTCTTATTCGGTGAAGATATGAGATTGGCATGTTCGATTAAATTGTTTATCAAGAATTTTACTGCGTTATCTTGCGCGGAACTACAAAATCTGACTATGCATTTATTGACAAACGATTTTTTAAACATAAATCAACGTTACAGCACTTATATTTCAAAACTAGGTAATTTTTCCAGCAAAAATGATATTGATTGGTTGCAGATCATGTTCGATAGGATACCACGAAATATTATAACAGCGTATACAGTCGGTAAACGAATCTTATGTTCAGGATTAGTTACATCTATGCATTTGAATGTCATTTATTCTATGTTGTCGAAACCCAAAACAAATTATAAAATATTGGGTGTTGGAGTTGTATTCAGCAAAGAAGAAGACATTAGCTGGCCAAAGTGCGCATTTGAAAATTGTACAGATGTTCTAGAAGTCAATATTATTTCTTATGTTAATTTTCATGATGTTTCAAAACCGTCCAAATATCATTTTGCTGGTGGACCTAATTTAGATCTTACATTGCCTTACGATTTTTTCTATCCTTTCTTGAATAGCTCAACTGCGAAAATACCAAGTATATTGATTTTTTTAATCATGTATATTTTATGGATAAGTATTTAATTTAATAACATAATCTTTAAAATATATTTATATGTATTTTTTATTAAATTAAGATTGAATTCCCTTTTAAGTATTTTATCTTTGTATGCATAAATTATAAAATCTATACATCTAAAACAGACTATTAACAAATCCAAACATATACTGGATTCTAAATTTTTTTAAAAATTCGCATAAAAAGCGCACAGGATGATAGTCGGATTAACAATAAAAATTCATCGAAATCAAATAAATATAGAATACAAACGTTTTGACCCATATCGATTATCTTTAGTGTTGTACAAAATTCGTTCGCAATTTAACAATTCTACCAATCTTAGAATTTTCATAGTATCCAACAATTACATATTTTTTCAATCATTTCAATTGTCCCTTTATTCATTGCAACTGTCCCTGAGGGAAAAATTTCTATGCCAAAGTGTGTCAAAAACTATTCCTAAATAAACTTATGAAAAGAAAAAAACACATGCTTCGATGTTAGACATCTTCAAAAAATAGAATGCCAACACTGACTGCTACCAATCACAGATGTTATTTAAACATGTATATGACTAAGAATTGTTATTGTAAGTTTGTAAATTGTTTATTTATGCTTGTTGCTGATCGGATCCGATTGAAGTTTTGACTTTCTTGTTATCGTTTTATTTAGGCGTATTATTCTCATGGCTCGACCTTTGTATTTTTAAATTTAACGTTAGACAGATTCGACATTCCGGAACATGAAGACTATAATTGTATTCGGTGTTAATAATTTATCTGATATTTATTATATTCAAGAAATCCAAAGCTTCTAAGCATGCTTATGAGTCCGTTAAGGTGAATTACTTATTAATTACTTTTGAAACACTGTTTTCATAAATGAATTTCGAATTAGTGTCCACTTCAGATTTGAAAACCTAGGGAGTGGCTTGCCTTGACGGACTACCGAGTTTTATTGGCGTGATATTTGAAGAAAGCGTTTGCATGCTGAGGAAGACTCAAAAGAGTCGAAACGTTCATATTGAATAAAGAAGACATTACGGAGTTATTGGAATTAGGTCATCATTCCACATTAAAATAACGCACCTCGTCCTGTGTCGACTCTTATTAGCCTTAAATTAATATTGTTATTATTATATCTAATAATTATTAAAATAATAAAATAGAAAGTTATAAGAAAACAAATGAGAAATAACCAGATAAGCTAAAAAATTTAGATAAGCTAAAAAATAAATTACGATAAAATAAAATTAATTGCTTAGAAGTATAAACTAAAGTATAAACCTTTTTAGTATATATATTTTCTGTATTGTCCCATTTCATCATAAATATTTAATATAGCCCATGATATCTCAACTTTATATTTAATTATACATTTAATACAAAACTAAATGTTAAATAAAAACTAAATATTATTATTTGTAAGGTTGAGAAAAGATGCGTAAAGCTTGCACTTTATCTTCATACATGTATCTTCTACTACAAAAATAATGTTAAAATATTTTTATGCGGTTAAAAAGTTACTTTTGCATCATGAAAACATTAATGACCGATGCTTTTCGATACAATGAAATTTAATCACTGCCACCTACATAAAAAGTATTGAAGTAAGTATTGTACTAGTAACATTAATTTAAGCATTCTAGATTAAACAATGATTCATAGTGCCCCGGTTTCCTCTACATACAGGAGCGCACTCTTTGACACATACACCCGTAGACAAACAGCAACCTCAGTACATAGTACTCGGCATTGTATCTCTCTATAATAATAAATCATTATGTTTGTGTGCAATTCTTTTGTAACCATTTACCAAAAGACACAACAATGGCGACAAGGATAATTTATATCTACGTTTCCGTTGCTCAATTTTGCGTAAAAAAACGTAGAATGGAACATATAGAATGGAACATAGAATGGAATAAAACATACTTTCTCCAAATACTACGAAAGAATAAAAATTAGTTTGGCGTAGTTCGGCATAGAAACACGTAGTTCAAGAAGTAATGATTATTAGTTGCGTGTACTTTGGCGTACTTTTTCTACCTAACTAGGTTCATGTCCACAATTTAACATATCTTTCGCGTAGCTTGGCATAGTTATTTCTATGTTTATATTATCTATGTTGGCATAGTTATTTCTATGTTACGTCACACTCATAGAATCAGAAAAGTGTATTTTTTTATATACTTTGGCATAGAAATTTTTCCGCTAGGGCAGAGTGTGCTCATAGACTGTCATGGAGCCTCTGAAAGTGCTTCATGCTTTTTTAAATAGAGTTATTCATAGTTAGTTTCTGTGATGCATACTTATTTCCTGCATTTTGTATCGTACCAAGATACGCGAGTATACCCGTGTAAAAAAGTACTGCGCAGTGCACTAAAAGTAGTGCTCAGTAATATTTTTCTACAAGGTTTTAACATCCTAAAAGACATTTTAGGACGTTCACTGGATAAAGACAAAATAAAATTTAGTCATCCAGAAATATCCTAATGATATTTAAATATGTCCTATGGATGTAGAATAAGCGGACATAGAAACATCTTTAATATATCCTAAATACCTCCTAAGTTTTTTCAAGTACGTACTCTGGATGTTTGAAAATCCCTCGACATATATCTGTAGGATGTATCTAGGATCAATTTTTGTTGTGTGGAATAAGGTAGTAGCCAGCAAAAAAATAAGAGTCATAGCGTGCGCATTAGAATTGCCAACTGAAGGGTTAAAATGTTACAATGTGTAGAGGTTGTTAGTAATAAAACTAGAATAATGTAGGTCAAGGTTTGGTAACACTATGAGAAGAAAAAGCGCGAAAGTACAAAATTTATTTCGCAACAGTTTGGTCAACTTTTTTGGTCCTCTTGATCAGTACAATAAAATATAAATAGTTTTAATACTGTTAATAAGTTAACCTGTCAAAATATGTACGTATGCTGATGTGTGCGCATGTACGTCACATGTGCGATCATGCAGAACAATTCTCGATGCATGCATATAATGCAATATTAAAATTGAGGGTCACTTTTTCAAACGAGGTAGCAGTCTAGTACTTCTAGTAGTATATATAGAAGTCTGTGAAGAAGACGCATGAGTTTTGAATTTGCAAAGAAAAATTTTATTTCAATTTGTAAACAAAAAACTAATTCGTTTTTGATGTAACCTATTATCTGAAAGTTCTATCTCTTAAATTTTCTCGGAAAGAAATGTTTCGGAAGGAAAATATTTTTTAATGTAAAAATATTTTTCGCATTATAAACGACACGTGAATATTGTACATATGCTAGCGGCGAAGACATAGCGACGGAGTAGCAAAGCACTCCCGCACACTGCCAGACGCACAGCTCATTGACGTACTCTCATCTAAAGGACGGCGCCAATTGAATTAGATTTTTAACTAATAATTGTTTCAAAGCGTTATAAAAAGAAGGTTTAGGACTTTTTCGATTAAATTTCTTATCGATTCAATTCAGAAATAGCGCTACGTGATTTAATGAGATACACCTTGTAACACACATATTTATTTATACTGCATATAGGACTAGGTTCGCAACGCAAATTAATGACAAAAAGCTGCAAAGAATTAATGCAAATTATGTAAATTCGTTTACATAAAATCTTTGGTATTAATTATTAATCCATCTTTCGATAAACACGACAAAAATTAGCCGTTTTATTATGATGTAAATATTTTTTAAAAATTTAACAAAACATAAGTTATGAATGATATAGAGTATCTTAATTAATTGATATTTATTACTAAAAAAATCGACATTACTTAGGAAATATATCTAATAATAATTAAATTATTTGTTATAATTAATAACAATATTAATGATTATATTACAATAATGCGAATATATTATCTGATACATCAGTAAGCGATTTTTTTCAGACATTATGTTAATTTTTTAGTTCTTTAATAATTCATAAATTAAATTAGAATCAGATTGTACAAAAAAGGCAATTTGGAATTTTGTACAAAAAATAGTGAAAAATGTGGATAATTTATAAACACAAAAAGAAAATCTCTAAGATATATTTCACATTTTATAAAATAATACATTAAATCTTCAGTAATTAGAAGAGATAATGACGTGTGACTTATGTGATTTATGTTACATACATCAAAATTCCAAAAAAGGAGTAAATAAAATAGTTAAAAATTTTTTCGCCTTTCTTCTGTATGCGATATTATCGTCCAAAATAAAGAATTATACGCAAAATGGCATGTATATGCGTCGTCCATTTTTCAATTCTTTCTACGTATTTTGATTTCTCCTATTATGCAAAAGCGTTCCAGCACCGCACATGAAATGCACCACATCAAGAAGGACATCGATAAAATGTTTCTCAGTACATATTTCAACCGACGTTGTCACCTTCAGTTTCCACTTTAAGCTCAAGGTCTTCCACATATCCGCAATCTGCAGTAGCTGTTTCTCCGTACGTATCAATGAGGTCCTGTTAATATACAAAATATATATATATATATTATACATGGATTGCAAATAGAAGAGTATAAAAATTAAGAGTATTAACAAAATAATCGTAATTCAACATTTTGCTTAATCTAATCTCTTATCAAAATTATTTAATTCGTTCATTAAATATTGCTTCCATAAACTTTCATACGTATATTTATAATTTAACAATAAGATAGATGGTTTCCTATGAGTCAAATTAAAATCAGAATAATTTATCTTTACACAATTTCTATAAATTAGTATATAGAATATCCCAAAACTATATTTTTTTAATGGTGCATTCTTTAATCTGTTTAAAGTTTAGGTATTTTTTTTTACAAAAAATCGAAATTGTCAGAATATTTATTTCAATTTAAAAATTAAAAAAATTAATTTCTAGTTGAAATTTATTTAAATTTAAATTTTTAAGGAAATTTTAAAACAAAGAGAGGCAGAACACCAACAATGTCAATAAAACAGACTTTTTAAATTCAAACTGAAAGCATTGATAATAGCGATATTTTTAATTAAATTTCTTGCGTTCTGTTTCACTCAAACGCATACAGTAGTTTTTATTTAACATATTGCAGCGCTACCCTTACGGAAATGAACTATTGGAAAGCCAATAATCACTATTAGCTTACAATAGTAATTATTCATTCTCTAATAGTGATGATGTAGCATCCAATAATCGGAGTATTCGCAATAATCATTCTCCAATAGTTTTTGAATGAATGATTATTGATTTCATAATCAGATTATTTGCAATAATTACTGCTCAATAGTTTTCAACTGTAGTGATTATTGATTCATCATTAATCAGATTATTTGCAATAATCACTACAGCACACTACTTTTAATAGTTATATAAATGATTATTAGTTTCCAATTGTTGACTATAGTTGATGGAAAGAAAACATATCGTTGCTTTAAAAAAATATGTATGCAAAATGGATTATTTTTTAAATAAGCAACTATGTGCTTTCCATCAACTGATTCATCTCATTATTCTGTTCGTAAAAGTATTAAAGTATAATTATCAAAAAGTTAATAGTTCACGAGTTATTTAACATTTTATATCAATATGTGTCAGAATAAAGTGTAAAATATCTCGTAAATTATTGGTTTTTTGATATTACTATCTTAATATTTTTATGCAGAATAATTAAAGGAATATATCATATTGTGTAAAAAAAATTATACAATTTTATTTTAAAAAGTGGAGATAACCTTCATATCTTTTTGACGCCTCCACCTAAAAAAAAAAAAATCAAAATACATCCTCCTCGAAACCCTTCCACTTTTATTTGAAACATTTTTCTATATCGCCAAAAAAAGAGAGATATTTCAGATGGTTGATTTAAGTGGACCAATCTGTATATATCTTGACATATCGTGACTTTGAGTAATATTTAAAAGGTTTTAGTCTTTAGTCAGACATCTTGGAGAATGCAAATATCGGCAGTACTATCAACTTTATAACTCATAACTCAAACCTCATAACTTAAAATGTACCTAACGAAAAAAATACTTTATTATAGTATTTTGGAAAGCTCTTGAAATAAGCTATAAGAATTCGCAATAAAAAAATGGAGAATTCCATTAAAAAAATGTTATATAACATAAACTTGACCTTAAAGACTTCTTATCAAGATGAATCAAGATCACTGTCTTTGTTTTCCCCTTAAAATCATAAAACTTTTTTTTTGAAACATTTTTTGAAAAAATTTCTCCTTTTCGAGATATTTGCGTGTATTGATTAAAATGGCCGATCCTGTTATACATGTAAAGGTGAGTAAAAAGTCCTGAACCAATGAAATATCTCGAAAACATTTGAGAAAGACATTTTATCTAAAAAAGTTGTAGGACTTTAAGTGATCTATTCACTAATCTGGTCAATTTGACTTTGGATGGCGCCAAGATCACATCGAATTTTTTAAATGGTACACCCTATTTTTGATTTCAGAATCTAATAGCTGGTGTCAAGACCTTTTCAAAACACTACAATAAAGTTATTTTTTATAAAGTACTTTTCGAGTTATAAAGCTTGCAAGTTACACCACCGGCATTAAACATTATCCAAGATGTTCGACCGACGGCTAAAACCTCTTGAATATTGTTCAGGATCATGATCTAAATAATATTTGTCAAAATTAAGATCATTGGAAGTTGTTCCTCTTATTTTCATTTTTGTACTAAAAATTATAGCTCACTAACATTGAATCAATATCTCAGAAACGTTGATTTGCAACATTGCGAACATTGCAGTAACATTGCGAAATATAGATTCAATGTTGAAGACACGTTGCAGAAACATCTAATGTCCGTTGAATTGCAACGTCCGTATGAGACATAAAAAATGTTTCTCATATTAATTAATTCAATTTTATTATTAAAATAAGTATTATTGATTAATATCATATTTCAGAACACACGACAAAATTATAATTGAAAAAAACGCTTTCTCCTTATTTGAAATTTAATTTCCTAAGCGATCACCCATCCAATCTTGTATGCCATCCAATGATGTTTAATCTCTGTAATCATACGGGAACAGCAACTTTGATGATTCATGAACATTGAATGTTAGTGAATGTAATATAATTGTGACATATAGATATGTAAAATGACAACGAATCGACATCGCGCGTCGGATCGGTCAACACACAAACAATACCATACGTGTAAGCATTCTGCGATTTTCATGTAAGCATATATTTTATAGAAACGAATTTCGTTAAAAGATCAATTTAAGTAATTTAAATTTTCTATTACATGACATTTTATTTTGTTCATTTTTTACAAATAAAATAGGTTTCGATATATAATTTATTCAACATCATTTCAACATCGCAGCAACATTAACAATCAATGCGGAAAAATCAATAAAAATTCAATTTGTGGTTCAATATTTATTCAATATTGTTTCAATGTTGCAGCAACGTTAATAATCAATGTAGAAAAATTAATATATGTGTAAATATAACATTGATAAAACATTGATACTTCAACATTCAACATTGCAATATCTCAGTAACATTCTTTCAATGTTCTGTGCTGTATGAAATTTCAACGTAAAAATAAAAATAAAAGATACAATCCTCCAATACTCTTGACAAATATTATCCAAATCATGATCCTGAACAACATTGATGAAAACTATGCATTTTAGACAATTAGCAATATATTCCTTCACTTTCTTTTGCATTTTCTGATATCAATATACGCGCATTATGTTTTTCGATGACTTTTTACTACTCCGACGTGACCGATATCATCATGACAAGTACGTATTATATTGTTCTCTAACACTCCGGTACATAGAAAAGTAACTTGTCGTTTTAGCTTTCCTGTAAACCAATCCGTCTCGCAATTCAAAGTATCCACTCTTTTACACTTCTAATTGTTTACATTCGTCGAATCGTCGTATCTTTATCCTGTTTTATCGATAATATTTGTTCTAATATGTCCCTTCTAATATAACGTGACAACGACTCAGTACATTAACGTGAGACATTTTCGACCCCGGATAATACTCGATAATATAATTATAACTGCAAAAATAGTATCAATCTTGAAATGCAGATTTACGTTCTGTTTGCATAATGTTAAACGAAAACTATCGCAATCGGTAAGAATCTTAAATTGAAGTCCCGCCAGATAAATATGGAATCTTTTTATCGCATAAACCGCTGCAAACACTTAAGTTCATAGTATTTTACTTTGATACTTCGATTCTATGGGTGCATTCGGAGAGACGCTATTCACATTATTTATCGCATATACTACCAAGCTATTCGCGGAGCTGCAAATAGTGCTAACCAATCATGATAACGCACATGATCATGACGTCATTAGCGGTAACGTTTTACGTTATAATGGCGCGCTATCAATGTTATTCCTTCCGGATAGTGTTTGCGTTTACAAGCCCCATGAACGACCCTAGCGTAGAATTGGTAGCGTTTAACATTCGTCAAGGTAGAATAATATTAAGGATTCTGTTCTTGAATGGCATCAAACTTTCCTCTCTTTAGAATTTCGTAGAGTAAATGTACGTAACGTGTGAATTTTTAATTTTGTCGTAGTGAACGCAATCTCAATTTCAATCTCTACAATTGATGGCTTGTCACTACTGTCACTAGGCCGGAGTGACGTAATTCTTGCTTGTGTAAGTATCATCTTTAACTTTTCGAAGTTTCTGCAAAGTTCAATTTGTGTATTTGATAAAATCCTGAAAATTCGGGCAAATGAGAATATACCGCAGTTGTTAGCATGATCAAATAATACTGTTACTCAATGCAGTACTTAATTGTATATATTTCAAAATAAACGTTTCAACTCTTTTTTTAGAGTCATCATCAGCGTTAATACAATTCTTCCAAAATATGAGACATCAATAGCAGTCACTAGGATTGGATGATTTTAAGTGAGGTGCATGAATTTCGTTATAATTTTATACAATTTATTTCATTTGATGATGAGAGATGTAATTACAAGAGCAAATAATTATAAAAATATAATCCATTCGTGCAATACCATTATATAAAAAAATATATATAAATAGTCAGAGTACAAGAGAATATAATTTAGTCAAGGCATGATACAGTTAAGATTTGTGTATCTGATTTCATTACAAATGTATAGAAAGTCGGAGGTATCTTGTTACTGGTGGATTTTTAATTCCCATGTATAGAAAGAAATTACTATTGTGGTATAACGCTGCAAGATATTCCGTTAGATGTTTAAACGTATATATATATATATACATATAGGACGTTTCGCAATGGAAAAAACGTTTAAGATCTCAAAATATTCGCACATTTGTATACTTTCGAATGAAATGTGAATTTTTGAAAAATTCAATATGACGGCTCAAATATGATGTCCGCAATAGTCACGTTCTTACGATTTAAATAAAAACTTGACGAATCGGCTTGAAAATGATTACTATAAATGATTACGAACCTAGAAATAGAATAAACGGTGGATTTGAAATCA